AAGTCAGAAGCATTATTATATCAGCAGAATGCATCCTGGGTCAAACCAGACCCTCATGAAACATAGGTGACTCTGATGGATTGTCACCTCTGGATCCAGGCTAACACCACACAGCACAGATTTTTTTCTGTCTAAAACACAGTGTTTTGGGGGATTTGTGGGTAAGCTTCACATGCAAACTTTCTCTCCTTAGAGCATATCAGGTTCAATAGCTACCGAGCTAAAGAAACATTTTTCTCCGTGTTAGACTTGCCCTATACAGATATAAAGGGCCACACCTTTGGGCACTGCTGTTCCCTTGTCTGATATTCCACAGCATCAACCCAGCAAGCACTGACCGCCAAGAATGACCAAAGCAGACCCTTAGAGCCATATATGAAATATATGGAAATGGTTTGTGCCTTTAAACCGGTGCCACCACAAGCATTCCTTTTGCTGGGAAGGTGGCAGATGCCAAGTGTGAAGGACCACTGCCTGAATGGGCCTCCAGCAAATTACCTGGAGTGCCAACATGGAGCATCTCTTGGTGCTGCCGAGGTTACTGTGGGGAAGAAGAGGGCATTGATCTCTTGTGATGCTAAGCCAGACCTCCAGATTGATATATGGCTCTCTCTGGAGTTACCCACACGCTGCCTGGAAGCCATCAAGATGCTCTGTAGCTCCTATTCCAGCATGATCCCCCCTTCCCACAGGCAGCCATGCATTTCCCTCCCCATCCCAGCCTCACTGTCTCAACCCCTGCCCTTCTCTTGCAGTGTCACCTGCTGAAGGGACCAGCCCTTTGCTTTCTCTGTTAAAGACACCTCCAATGACATCTTCATACGTCACATCCATCCCCTTCTGGTGTTGCTAAAGGGGCCCGAGTCCTTCCCCAGTACCACAATCTTTGAAACAGTATGATTTGCCTGTGGAAATGAAGCAAATACGGTGAGCTCATCTGTACGTCTATACCTGCAGGGCTTTACTATCTTTCCTACAAAATACCAAACCAAATTTCACAGAAATCATCAGACAGAGTCTGTAAGTGTCTTAGCCCAAACATCCCAACTACAGGAAAAAGCAGCATGTAGGTCCCAGAGAAACCAGACAGAAGGGAAAACTCAACAGTGAAGGCAACATCTTGGAGGGGAAATACCCCATATTAAATTTCAGATGAATTAGGAACCAGTTCAGTTAAATTCCCCAATGTGGAAGGCACTTGTGCCTCTGCTGGCTGGAGAAAATGCCTTGAGATTAAAAAAACCCCTCTTAAACAAGAAGTTACTAAATAAATTAAATTAAGCCCGATCAGAAGAAACAGAGACCTCCCCCACGTCTACCCCTTGGAAATAATACAGAACACATTGCACTGGCTGTAGCTGAGTGCTCTGCAGGAGGTACAGGGAAATACCCTGCTGGGATACAGTCCCTTGCCATCAGGATACCGCAGCAAGATGGGACTGGGAAAGCTGGGTTGGAGTCTCTGTTGTACTGGTCACACATCTCATTTCAATTACTGGCACCATTTGGTAGCCCAGTTCACTCTCACGTCAGGCAGTCGGATGCAAGGCAGATGTTAGAAATTGGAAACACAGCAGTGAAGAAGTTGGAAGTCCCAAGACTACACAGGGACTATGCAGGGAGTGTAACACGATGTTTCCTCATGTGACGGCAGCATTTTGTGCTTCCTGGTGGTGTGCTCTCTGTTAGGGACATCTAATCTGAAGCAGTTGGGTGGTTTTCAGCAGATGAGGAAGTGGTTATGGCATGCACCTACTCTGCTCATCTAGCCTTCAGCTACGCAACGTGGACACACTTGGTAAAAGCAGAAGTAGGACCTTCTCTAACTCACATACAAATACTTGCAAGGTTCTTCAAGTCCAAAAAGTCACTGTCTTTCAATTCCCAGTGGTCACCACCCACAAAATTCCATGTGTCTTAAAAATGACAGCAAGTGGCAGATCAGAAGAGTAAGTAAGGGTAAAATATGCAGTAGATCATGGCTTGCCTGGGAAGTACTTTCATATGTTCATTGAACACAACTTCTAAACATCTCCAGCCAGATACAGACCATTTACTGAGATCACCAAATTCCCCCCAAATATTAGTGAGAGCTCTGATGGTTTGACCTTATCCATCAAGATGATCTCAAAATGAATGGTAAGTGAAGGAGACCCTGTCTCCATCATGAGCAGATGTTGAAATGAATGTAGCATGGCTAGTCACTCAAAAATGGACTTTTCAGCTTAAAATTAACTATCAACAGTCCAAGGATGGAAGGCAGCCAGATGCACTGACAGGTTACCTCAGACACAAGCCATGTGTCATTTGATCATATTTTTAATTATTTAGAGCAGATGTTTAAAAAATCCTGCATCTCAGCTGAATTTTGGGTAAGTTCCAGAAGAATTCTGAGAACAGGTGTAGAAGAAATCAGCATCTTTTTCATCTGAAGGGGGATGGAGAACAGAACCCTTCACCCTTCAGAGGTGTTGCATCGGGAGTCACTGAGCTAAATACAATCGCACAAATTGGTAATTTGCATCCTAGCAATTAGTATCCTTGCTCTCATGGACAATACCCACTGAACTTCACTCAGTCACAGATTTACCTGAAGAGCCAGCTTTACCACAACCACTACTGATGGCCAGCATGGCAAATACATCATGTGACACAGTGGCACCACAGTCCAGCTGTCTTGTCCCTGCTCCCTCCAGGCTTTTACTGACTGCAGGCTTATGTCACAGTAGGAAGCATCAAGCCCCTTCCATTACAGATGGTTAGGGTGGGTGGGTGGTTGAGCTGGACTTAACTATCCATGAATAGTCAGTACGGCAGCCTGCTTGGAGATGTCTAACCTGGCGGCAATAGCAAGAAAGCAGGATAAAACACTACACTTCCAGGCTATATAGCATCATTCCTCGACCATTAGGTATTTTGATGATAAAACCATTACACGTTAAGGGTTAATGAAGGATTTTCTTTCCTTAGTGTAACAAAGACAGATTTTGTGTCTTAGCAGAGAGCTCCTTGCTCTTGCAGTGGGAGTGTTCAAGTGCCATGTCTGTAAGACAGTGGTTTCACAGCGGGTCATGAGTCTGGCAGCACAAATGGGTGTGGGATCACAAACCTAGAAGTGGGATCACGGAGGGAAAAGTGTGGGCAGCAGGAGTGTACAAGGGCCTTGCAGGAGTAAGTACACTCAACAGGGCAGTGCTGTGCAGTCCCTTGTATTCTAGAAAGCAAGCAAAGACCTACCTAAAAATCATCATCATAATTTTTTTCTCAGATGAGAGTACCTATAGTTTACAAGGCAAGAAAAGGAAAAGCTTTTTAGTGCATCCCCAGAGCAACTCCAGTACTCACGCCTCTGCAAAGTGAGCAAGGAAGAGCCTTCAGTGTTCCGTCTGCTGAGACATAACTTGTGAAATGATGCCCAAGTGGTTGGATAACCAGTCTGGGTAGCTCTTCTCACCACCATTTATTTTTCCAGGAGCAAAAGGGAGCTCCAAAGCACAGCAGATTCCTGTCACAGCTGCATTCACTCGAGATGTCTCTCAGAAGGAGCAAATCCTCACCTTTCACCTAGGCTGGCATTTCTATTTCACACTTGCATATATACACCTGCAACCTGATTATCCTGTGGAAGCACTTAAAGGTAACAGTAAACTCAAAGTGATTGATCTACAGATAATTTACCTTGGCAAGGAGGGCTACAAGTCAGCTATCAAGTGGACTGATAGACACTGCACTCCCACATGCAGGAGTGAATGACTTCCCTGGATAGTGGCATGTCTACAGCACCAAGAAATTAAATTATTAAGAGCAAAGGTAGTGGTGCCTTAACATAGAGGCTGATGAAGATGTGCCCTGAAAGAACTCCAAAACGCTTCAGCCAAACTAATGTTCCCTCCAACCTGTATGTGGTCAAATCTCACTATGTTCTGGATCACATTGTCAGAATTAAAAGAAGTCAAGAGGAAAAAGAATAGACTTCTTGCCTTCTTGTCTATGTTTCTTGAACAGAGAAAGGGTGTCCTCTGTTATCAACCCTTCCTGGGGTCACTGTGTGGCTCTTGGTGTTGCTCTACCATGGGAAGAAGTGGTTGTGGCTGCACTACTGGGAATTAAATGGACAGTGGAGGTGAAAAGAGAGATAAAAGCCGTTTATATCATGAAACACCACCAGGGTGAGGCTCTGCTGCTTTGGAAAAGAAAGAAATGGGTCAGGATAAAACTGGATGCCGCATATCAAACTCTCCATATGGTCAAGAGCCCTTTGACCCCCACACCTTGCATGGCTGAAGGGTGGGAGATGGCACCATCTTCACTGGCTGGGCACAGGCAGACTGGGCATGCCAACCAGCTCCAGGGCAGACTGATGGGTTTGGCTTGCTCCTCCCCACAGCTGGGGACCCTGCTTCATTACCAGCCCCTGGCTAGCACAGCCTTGATGACAGCCACCTCCCAATGTTAGCGCAGGACCTCAACTGCAAGTCAGGTGCAGCCGAGAGCTGTACATAGATTGCAAATCTGACTTATGCAAATAGAAACACTAGCCAGTGATCATTAAGAATAATTAGAGCCACTCCTATATATGGGATTTTAAGCACCCGCTTCAGATTTTATCTATCCTGTAAATTTTAGGGTGCAGGATTAAATCTAATGCGGGGGGGGACCTGGGGGAGAAAATTATCCCTAAATGTGCATCATACCCATCACACATCTCCTGAATCCAAGCGTCCCAAAGAATATTTAGAAGACCTCACAGATCTCCTCTTTTTTGCCCTTTTCCAAATATGTTTTGCTAAAAGTAGGATTTACAAAATGAAAATTCATTAGAAGGTCACAGTATAATACTCCAGCACAAACAATAGCAAGACACAGAATAGCCATCACTTTCCCCCTTTGCAATATTTTTTGCGCTAGTCTGAATCAAAATAAGAGTCACATTATCTCACCTCCTCGCTTTGGACTGTGACCCACAGTGACTACAATATAGCTCTTCCATTTTCACTTACCTTGTCCATAAGAGACAAAATGAAAGGGGAGCATCTGAAATTCGGCAACCCACACACCTGTAATGCATTTCAGACTGCTTCCTCCTCTGAAGCCTCACCAAAGACTGAGATAGAGGTTGAAAAGGGAAGATGAAAACTCCAGCCTCTCTGGAGGACACACTGAAAATCCTGCAGACTCTGGGAAAACTAAGATAGCTGAGAGTCAACCCTGCTGACTCTCGTTCTGCCAGAGAGCTGCAGCTGGTGCCAGTGAAATATTTATGCAAAGGCAGCAGATGTTGTGAGCAAAGTATGAAGAAAGGCATGAGAGCTGCAGTATTAGGTCGGGGCATCCAGCGCAGTGTTTGCATCCTACAATGGCCAACATCAGATGGTTAACAAGAGTGTAAGAGCAGGACGAGCACATGGAGACTTCCATCTTTCCAGGCTCCAGTGACCTATAGCTTAGAGACTTTCTGAGGCACAGACTGCATCTTGGAAATATCTTTGCATTCACAGAATCACAGAATCATTTCAGTTGGAAAAGCCCCTGAAGCTCCTCCAGCCCCACCATGACCTTCCCCCTGATCGTTCCCAACTCCCCCAGATCCCTCAGCGCTGGCTCAGCCCAACTCTTCAACCCCTCCAGGGATCCCGGGGACTCCCCCCTGCCCTGGGCAGCCCATTCCAACGCCCAACAGCCCCTTCTGCACAGAAATCCTTCCTCAGAGCCAGCCTGACCCTGCCCTGGGCAGCTTGAGGCCATTCCCTCGGGGCCTGGCGCTGGCTCCTTGGCTCCAGAGACTCATCCCCCCTCTCTGCCCCCTCCTGGCAGGGAGTTGCCGAGGGCCAGGAGGTCTCCCCTCAGCCTCCTCTTCTCCAGACTGAACCCCCCCAGTTCCCCCAGCCGCTCCCCAGCAGACCTGTGCTCCAGACCCTGCCCCAGCTCCATTGCCCTTCTCTGGCCACGCTCGAGTCATTCAATGGCCTTTTTGGGGTGAGGGGCCCAACACTGAACCCACTCAGCGAGTGGCGGCCTCCCCAGTGCCGAGCACAGGGCTCAGATCCCTTCCCTGTCCCTGCTGGCCACGCCAGTGCAGACACAAGCCAGGATGCCGTTGCCCTCCTTGGCCCCCTGGGCACACTCTGGCTCATTCTCACCCCCCCAGTCCCTCTCTGACCGGCAGCTCTCCAGCCACTCCTCCCCAGGCCTGTAGCCCTGCTGGGGGTGGTTGTGGCCCAAGGGCAGCCCCCGGCATTTGCCCTCAGTGAAACTCCCCCAGTTGGGCTCAGCCCATGGCTCCAGCCTGGCCAGGTCTCTCTGCAGAGCCTCCCTACCCCTGAGCAGATCAACACTCCCACCCAACTGGGTGCCCTCGATCCCCTCGTTTAGGTCATCAATAAAGATGTTAAACAGGAGTGGCCCCAACACCCAGCCCTGGGGGACACCTCTCATGACCAGCCATCAACTGGATTTAACTTCAACACCCTGTATGAACTTTTGTTCTATGAATCTTCTTACTTTGGAAGCCATTTAAACTTTTAGCACTCCCAGTGTCCTGTGGTAATGAGTTCCACAGGTTTACCACATGCTGCCTGAAAATGTTATGTCCTTTCATTTGTTTTCAACCTCAATCCTGCTAGTCTCATTTGTTGCCACTCAATTCTCATGCAAGAAAAAATATTAAAGTTTTTTAATCTGGGAGAAATGTTGCCTGTTTCTCTGGATCACTGCTGCCATTTCTAAGGCTTGGGAACATTCATTTGTACATCAACAGCAAGATCAGAAATAACATTTAAGCACCAACAGTACAACCTGGAAAACACTGAAGTGCCTGTGCTGATGGAGAGACTGAAGGAACCTGAAAATCTACACCAGCGTCTCTTAATACAGAGGGCAGCTACGTTCAACCCAGACCCTGACCCAGTAATACGCAAATGCAATGTTGTCCCAGAAATAAATGCAAAAGAGTCACTGGAAATCTCCAGTGTCTGCCTGGTATCAGCTCCTTCTCAGAGACCTTTGCAGCTAAGAGAAGCCCACAAGAGAGCTGAGCTTAGCTCCCTCCCATGTGGGTCAGAGATGATGGCTAGGGATTGAGCCTTCAGGTGGTCAGCAAATAGGTTTCCCTTGGGGTTGAACCATTAGCCAAGGAGACAAGGGGCAGACTGTAATTCATGTACAATGGGAGAGCAGACTAAATGCCCTGTGCTAGGAGCAAGCACAGCCCTGCTGAGAAAACCCCACCAACTTTCCCACTGTCTTCAAAATATTCTCCTAATTTTCTACCTCTCATCTTGAGGCTAACAAGGATCATCCATAATCCATTCACCCTCACCTGTGCAAAAGCTCACCATAACTGCTCAGTAAAAAAGAGGAAAAAACCCTCAAATTGTTCATTTCAGTAAAACAAAGTACAAAGGAGCTGCTGTACTGCTGGCTGTAGGGTTAAATGTGGTGCTACACGGAGATAGCTCCTCTCCTAGCTCATCTCCCAGCTGCTGGGATCTGGCCTGTTTAATGAAGATTGATTGACTTCAGGAGGCCACCTCTGTCTAGACTGCCTATGGCCCCTTTTTATTACCCTCACTCACACAAGTGAACCCAGGATCCAGGCACGGAAAAATTCCAGGCAATAGAGCAGCAAGAGAATAAATTGAATTTTCTCAGAGCAAATGGAGCCAGGTCTTCCCCAGCCCTTTCTCTCGGGCACAGATTCTCTTGGGTCTAATAACAGCTGAGACACCAACATCATTTTGTCAATGGGGGCCCAGAGAACATTTCATTTTTCTACCCTGACTTGTATTCATGAAGTTTGAAGTAATCTACTGCCTCCAAGGCCTCTTGACTTTAGGTTATGACAGCACTAGGAAACCCGTGCCCTCGCTGCAGCAGCCTGGCTGAGCTGTTACAGCCCCAGCCCCACAGCCTGTGCATACCAGCCTGCAGAAAGGCTAAACATGTGCTGGGTCTGCTGCAGGGCTCCCCTGGAGTGCAGGACATCTGCTTCACAGCCCCACCATGAGCTACTGGGATCCCCACAGAGACATGGAGAACAAGAGATTATTGATGACCTGGCCAACTAAAGAAGGTTCTTAGGCCATGGCCAATGCTTGGACTAAGGAAATGTCTTCTAGCCCCACAGCCAACACATAGAATAGAGTTTCTGTCCACAGACCTAAATTATCTGTATAACTCCATCACCAAAATGGAGTCATAGCCACACTATCTGGTCCTTTGCCCAGACTGGACCTGTGCATTATTTGGGAGTGTGATAGTTTTCTTAGGGTAAAGCCGTGCCAGGGACTGTGCTAACAGGGGAACAAATTTTCCATCCACTAATCTAGGAGCCCCAATCCTGTGGCATGATATGTCATCGATCTCCATAGCAGCAGTGAACAAAAGTCACAGGTGGAGCAATAAATAAGGTCTATTCTCTGAACACACTTGTGGAGACAGTGAAAGCAAAGAAGTGGAAGAAAGAGCATTGAACAGGAAAAGATGGATGAGAAGCAGACATGGGCATATTTCACGTGGGAAAAAAACGTTTAGAGTAGCAGAAAGTTTCTAGCCCTCTCAGAAGAGATCTTGGAACAACTTCCCAAAACCTTATTGGAGCCCACGTGAAGTCATGTCATGTTACTCAGGGTGTGCTGTGGTTTCAAAGGTCTTGGACCATGACAGTTCTTCCAAATAGACGGGTAGGTCCAATTTTCAAAATCCCACATGTCCTGCACTGCATTGAAACCAAAGCCTGAGGTTGGGAAGAACTCTAATTCCCATGATGTGGGAGCCAGAAGCAACACAGGTTGGAGAAACATTAAAAATGGACACAATACTTAGATAAAAACATGTTAGTGATGGTTCTCCTGGCTTTCACTGAAGGAAAAGTGAATTTGGGTCCACAATTTACAACGCACTGAACCGAAACCCCAGTACTGACCAAAGGAAGGTCTGGGACGTGGTCTGCATTGCTGAGGCTTGCAAAACTCTTTAATACCTGAAGATGTATTCCTTTTCAATTTGTCACCAAAGGTTTTTAAAGCAACAAGCTCTACCTGGGGTGAATGCATAGTTTAGATGTTTAATGATAACGATTCTCTGATGCCTTGAGGGTATAGTATATTAGTTCTTCACCTGAAGGCACAAGGGGGGCCAAACCCAGTCTTAAATCATAGCAAATATGAAAAGATTTGAAAGGAGGGAGTTTTGGCACAGCTTAGGGGGGAGGACAAGCTGAGTTTACTGGAGTGTCGCTTTCCAGGGGCAAGGTGGATCAGCATGGAGCATAAGGAGGGAACCTAGTTAAATGTTAGGCTCCAAAGGAGAAGAAAACATGCCCACATTTTGATACAGATAACTCTGATTCACTTTCTATACAAGAGTAAAAACAGTAAAAAGAAAAAAAAATTAAATCTCTCTTTTCTTTGTCTTTGCATGTTTAGGTTAATTTAACTGAAAGAATACTTCTATGAGAACCCATCAATCACCTGTGGAAAGTCATGCTCACTCGCCTAAAGCATAGAGAGACTTATCCAGTGTGGGGAGACTCTTAAAAGGGAAAAGCGCTTCAGGTTGAAGTTCTTCCAGCTCATTTAAAGAGATGTCAAGTTTAACAGTCTTAAGGAATGAGGAGGAAGAAGGGGGAGAGAGCTAAAAGAAAAAAAAATAAAGCAGCTATTTCCAATTTTTCCCCCCATCTCCCCTCAAAATATGCCTGGAGGTTTTAGCCTTTACCATTTTTGACAAGTAGCAACACACACAGGCAGTTCTAGCACCAGTACTACTTGATCAAGGAGTTCTGCTTTGGAAATCACCCAAGTAAAACTTGGCAGAGAAAAATAAAGGGAAACAAAAAAGGGGGAGTTTAAAAAGTGACATAGAGGAGAAAGGAGGCCAGATCCTCAGCAAAGCAGTTTCTTGCATCTCTTCTTTCTCACGGGAGCCCTGCTGCTTTACACTAGCAAGGGACAGGCTCTGAGCATGTCAGAGGAACATCCATGAGGAAGAAAACCAGCTCACGTACCTCACAGAAAATGAAATGTTTGAGACAGCAGGGATGTCTCCTGCTCCATCCAGAGAAACAGTGAGCATTTCTGAAATGCTAAGCTG